CAGACAAATGGAGCAGGGGAGTGTTGCGAAGGTGAATGTAAGTGCAGTGGGGAGAAGGGTCATTAACAGAACCTGTAACTTTGTCCCAGAGGGACACCCAATTCCCTTGACCCTTGCTGTCTAAATGGACACAGGTTGGCTGGTTTGGTGAGACTTTAGTAAAGCAACTCCTTTCTTGACTACATCCCCAGCTGCAAAAAGTTTTCTCAGAAACATGCCTGTAAATAAGAAAAACACTATAATATGTAATTACCGTACATATCAAATACATAAGTAGTTTTTTAATGTTATTCACCTTTCAGAACTAGATTTTTCCTACTTGAGACCTTTAACGTATATCACAAGCCAAAATGTGTGATTTTTTTTTTTTACATTTTGGAGTAAGGGAGGGTTAAAACTGCTGTCAGTATTTTTTTTTTGTAATGGGGTAGCACAGTGGCTTAATGGTTTGCACTTCTGCCTTGCAGAAGGGTTCTCGGCTCAAACCCCAACCAGGACACTACCTGCATTGGGTTAGCATGTTCTCCCTGTGCTTGCATGGGTTTCCTCTAAGTTCCCCGGAGTCCTTCCACACTCCAAAGACATGCTGGTAGCCTAATTGGATCCTGTTTAAATTGGACCTAGTATGTGTATAAATGCATGCAAGATAGTAACCTTAAGCTAGGTACATACAATACTGGTTTTCCAGTAGGACTGATCGACAGAAGCCTGTCTAATGATCAGCTTCTGTTGAACCAACGGGGCTATACACACCTCAAAATATGTTCGGTTCCTGCTGAACTTGCCAAATTTCAGTATGCGTGTACCTGGCCTTAGGTTGTGAGCACCTTGAGGGCAGGGGACTAATGTGAATGTACAATATGTAACATGCTGCATAAATTGTTGACACTATATAGGTAAGTGTAATAAATAAATCTGTCTCAATAGGGAGATTTCCCTTCACTTCCTGTCCTGTAGATTCAACAGGCAGTGTGAGGTTATCTTTTCAATTTCAGTGATATCCCCTCTTATAAAGTTGTCACTAGAACAAGTGTCCCCATTGGAAGATTTTTATCTATTCCTTTTCTTGTGGTAACTCATAATTTAGGATCTAGCCTCACTTTTATTCCCAGTGACTTTGTTGAAGGGACAATTAGAGTGAAACTCTATAGGAGTCACAGACAGCAAAAAAAAACTTGACAGAGGTTCTAACCCCCACAATTCTAATCACGCTGAAAAAAAAGAAGTTTTAACTTTATTTATACTTTAATATAGCATAGACATGTGTATGTATAAATCATACAATGTAGATAAAATGGCAGAAACACTACATGAGTGTAAATATATTACCATAAAAACTGTGGTAAATATGAGTGACATTGGGATGATTGCCAGTTCGCAGTATATGTCAGCATGTAAAAGAAATTTGTCAGTTAAAGCTTTGATCTGTGGCAACCTGAGCCAGGTCTTGGAGTTCCAAAGAGGCCAAATGCTGAGTAACTAAACTACACATGCATTGGTCAAAACACTCCAAAATGATGAAATGTATCAAGGGGGACTGTTTTAAAAATAATGACAGAATATATTAATAATGTATACAATGAATCAACAGCCAGAAATGGTGATTGAAAATCAAAGCGAACAGATAGCAATAGACAGACTGCTAACATAATAATGGATATCCCTAAAATGGCTACAGAATTGAAGCAGCACCTCTGTAATCCAGCCAAAGAATCTGTCAGTTTTGCTTAATCATGGCTGAAAGGCAGGTTCCCTTGATAAGGTACCACCACTGATACTTTCCTTTCCTGTGCTCCTCCTTTGCCACTCTGTTTGTCTGAAAGCCTTGAAAACACTCAATACTTGAAGTGGAAATGTCACTTTTCGATGCTGCCAGGTATTTAGGAGTTGGCAAAGACCTGCATCACATCTGCGTATACATAGCGAGCTTCCATGCATACACCCAAATGCTGCCAGTTTCAGGTAGATGTGCGCTACAGCATTTTGCAGAATTTTAATGCATGTGCAGAAATCGGTGCACACATGCAATACAAAGTTTGCAGCTTGGTAATACACTGCCTCCTGGGATAGTTAGTTAAGTTCTGCTTTAAGGATATGGGAAGCATTTGACCTTTTCCCCTTCCTCCCAGGATGCAGTGTTTAGGCCTGAGTGGCCATTTACCTTGCCCTAACACTGTAACATGGGGAGAGAAGAAGGTCATTAACTCTGTGTAAGCCCCAGCATAGATCATACACAGGCATTAGACTTGCACCTGAAGGCGAACAGGGTGGCAGGGGAGCACAGAGACTGGTGCTATATCAAGAAACCTGTCACCTTCCCTGAATGAACAACAGATTCTTTTCAACAAAAACTGTACTAGAAGCCTCAGAAAACTGGAACACAGAATTTGTGTGCATTCGTGACCAATTGATAAGGAAATTAAACCTTGTGTAATTTAAGCAAAACATGGCCTACTGGGGTAATACGAAAAAAAAAATATGGTCTGATGGGTTCTTTTTTGACCTATTATGAGGGGTTTTCAAAATGTTTCCGCACTTTTATATTTTTGTTGGAAACGGTGAGGGCAGGAGGAGTGGTAATTGGTCATGTCTGAGAGTGCTATGTGTCACCAGTCTGTTTGGCAAGGTGGCTGACCTTGCAGTTTAGTTTAAGAATTGACACACTGTTTTTTAAATTCTTAATAAACAGAGTTAAAAAAAGTGCTGAAACTTTTTGAAGAATCCTCATACCTACCTTTGGCAAGGTAAAAGTTTGAAATAAGCAAAAAACTTACTTCAGCCTACCTTGTTTCTAATGGGTAAACATAAGAGACAGATCTGTAATAGTATTAGAAGCCATTTTGCAGTGGTAATTAGGTATATAATTGCCTTTCATGGTTATGTAACGGCAATAGGAATAGGATCATATAATACTAGGTAAAATCAATGGAATGCAAGCAATGCTTTCTTGGGATGTTCCCATTTGCCATATTTCCTCTAGTTATATTGCTAAAAACTTCAATATGGCAAATGGCCTCCACATCACAACACCAAAATAGCAGTAACTACCGTATTTTCCGGCGTATAAGACGACTGGGGCGTATAAGACGACCCCCCTACTTTTCCTGTTAAAATATAGGGTTTGGGCTATACTCGCCGTATAAGACTACCCCCCTCTTCCAACCAATCACGGCAAGCAATGTACCAGTATTTTCTGTGCACACTGTGCACACTGCATACAAAGCCTGCTTGGATTGGGTGGGTCAGCTCTCCCTGCCTGCCCAGCCCTGCCTGTCTCCAAGATACCATAAATTGCACAGAACTGCCACAGACATTATAATATTAATAATTAATTACCGTATCTCATAGCAGTTAAGGGGACAAGGTCGGATGCAGCAGTACCATACCGGTACTTCCGAGCTGACACTTCTGCACATGTCTAGGGCAGCAGTAGACGATCACTGATCACCATTCCTCGCAGAACTGCATGAGACGTCGGATGCAGCCGTTCAGTGCTCGATTGATCGTGACTGAAACTGTGACATGCGCAGAATCACTGTGTATCCCTTCTCTGCATATCACAGTTTCAGTCAAGCTCAATCGAGCACTGCTGCATCCGACGTCTCATGCAGTTCTGCGAGCTACGGTGATCCGCGATCGTCTACTGCTGCCGAAGACATGCGCAGTAGCGTCAACCGGAAGTACGGTAAGGTTTCAGCACAGCACCCAGCGTATAAGACGACCCCCGACTTTGTAGACGATTTCCAGGGGTTAAAATGTCGTCTTATACGCCGGAAAATACGGTAAATATTTTTCATCTGCTGCATCCCTCAAACTAAAGAATCATATTCTTTAAGGTTGGAAAATCTCACTCCATGAAACTTAGGATTTGCATGATAGCATTCTAAAGCAGGACAAAGGTTGTTCTGAAGGCAAAGGGTAGTCCTGCTCCAAAAGAGGGGCTTTCATATAAATGTATTTGAAGTGCTTCCATTCGTATATATATATATATATATATATATATATATATAAAAATATATATATATGCAGTATATATATATATATATTTAGTGTATAAAGCTTCAGAAGTACCCCACCAAAGCATTCAGGGCAAATGTAACAGGAGTCTTCTCCCTAAGTGATTGTAAAACAGCAAAGGTTGCAGTACACTCATGATTTAATAGATGGTATATGATGACTAATATGGTATATGATGGTATATAAAAAACCAAACTGTTGTCATATACCAGTTATTAGAACTATGAGTACACTGCAATTGAGAGAAAATTTTGCGTTATGTTGATATACATATAATACATATGCGTAATGTAGATTTATGGTCATATCTATAGATCACTAAATCTTCATACATATTTAATGTAGTATAGTACATCCTCCAATATTCCTGTTTATGTACAGCTGTAGAGATCAGCTGTTTCTTGTATTAAGTATACAGTATACGAATAGCATTTTCATTTAGAAGAATAATTAACTTTGATGCTGGTCCATCCCTTTTCATGTTAGGTTTGTGCAATTGTTGCTTTTGTTGTTCTGGGATGATGCATTCTTGCAAATACATTATTTCAACCACTGGGTAAAAAATCTTTGCTGGGATGTTTGTGCTTTTAGTGACATCTCTTTTTTACTGCACATGATTTTGTTCCTGTTACTCTATTACAGCACCACTGTTCTCATAAGGCTAATACTTAGCCATTATGTGGGAGCACGTCTTTTTTCTTTGATTACCATTTCAAAGAATGGGTAAGTTCACAAAGCCAAACTCCTGTTACAAAAGATGATAAAAGTACTGTTGCATCAGTGTCCTTAACGAAATGACATGGTATGTAGACTTGAAGCAAAACATTGTTGCTGCCCAATTATTGTGCAAGGCAGATTGTATATGCCTGTGCAGTCACAGTGTGTTAAAATGCAGCCAGGGAAATTTTCTTCAAAATAAAGGGAAACACTTTTTATGACCTTGCACATGCAGAACTGAAATGAATGTGCCAGGATTGTTTTGCTTACATGAGACTGCATTTCCCCTTGATTTTTTCTGCCCTCTTCTGCTTACTGGACCTTTTACCATCAATATTTAGGCTCATGTTTCTCCTTTTCTCCAAGTTCAGTAGCTCTTGAAAAAGTTCCTTCACATTGTAGTTCATCTTAGCTGAGGTCTCCATGAAGGCACATTTCCACTCTTTGGCCAATGCCTCTACTTCTTTTGTATCCACTTCACGCTGTGTTTCATCGCACTTGTTTCCTACAAGCATTACTGGAATGCTCTCTATACTACCTTTGATCTGTAGGATCTGCTGATAGATTGGCTTCAACTCCTCTATTGACTGTTTGCTGGTGACAGAGAAGACTAGAATAAAGGCATGACCCTTGGAAATGGAGAGTCGCTGCATGGCTGGAAACTGGTGGCTTCCAGTTGTGTCCGTGATTTGCAGAGTACAGACACTTTTGTCACAGCTGATGACTTGCCGGTATGTGTCCTCAATAGTTGGAATATATGTGTCTCGAAATGTTCCTTTGACAAACCGTAGGACCAAGGAGCTCTTCCCTACACCTCCTGCCCCAAACACCACTACTCGATAATCATTACTTTGTTCTGGCATTTTTAAAAGCTTATTGAGTCCTAGAATAGGAGAAAGAAAAATAAAATCATAATTTAATGCATGATGTACATATCGAAAACTGTGAAGTAAAATCAATTTGTAAAATTTTGCAGCAAAAATAGAGGAAAACAAATCAATATTTAAACTATTTTGACTTTTATTAGAATATACTTATTTTTGGTTTTTAATTCTTTATTTTAAAGAGTACATAAAGGAGATGAAATCTTGATAGGCAGACAGTGTACAAGGCATACATAACTATTCACGCAGAGCATAGTACTCCTCCACAATCAGTTACACACCAACAGTTAGTCTGAATAGTATAGTATACATACAATCGCAGATCCAAGAGGTATTCAGTGCCTACAAGAAGATAACTTAAAAAAAGTACTTGGATGCCAATACCCTTGGGTCTCAAGGAGGCCTGAGTATGCACTAACTTATATATGTAAGTGGCATTTTGTTTTTTGTCCTGTTGTGGACTAGAGTATACTTTTATGATGTTCTGGATTCTAACCTTAGCAGTACTGTAACAGTTGATTTGCTTTGTTTGTTACCTGTTTAGGTATTTTGAAAATTCATTAACCGTGTGTTCTCAAAATTAATTTGGGGTCCAGGAATTAATAGTCTTTAGCAGTCGGCAGAGCACTTTTTTGTGTGGTGTTCTGTATGTTAAGCAAACACCTTGTATTTTTTGGTATATAATAGAATTAGCTCAATTCAGAAATTTTTGCCAAAAACTTTGTATTATGTAATGGTCAACAAAACTGTTAATGTAAGCTTACGGTGGTTAAACAAACTGTTGTCCAAAAGGCTAATATGGCCTCAGTGATAATTTATAACCGTGTACAGAAGCTTTTAGTTAAACCACTAACACTCCCCTAAACTCTAGTAGAAACACATGTATAAGAAAACATTTTAAAGTACGGTATTTAAAAAGGAATAAAAGTGCTACAAAGAAAGAAGATACACTTGTCCCAGTCAATCACAAAAAGACAGAGAAGCAGAGTTTTAAAATCTCAGTTTGCTTACAAACCACTATTGCAGCATTTTGAATAGACATCTGGTGACTCATGTAGAATGTGAGTGGGTTGACCATTTCCTACCATGTGCCATTTTAAAATGGCATTGTATTAGCATTTTACTGTACTGGTAATATTAAAAAATGGCACCTGGTATAAGAGACTGTTGTATGCCCAGTGGAATTTCTAGAAATCAGAGGGTCCCAGGAACCAAACTCAATCAACTCCCTTGCTTCCAATCCTTTTACTGATATTTATTAATGCTAGCAGCATACAAATTAAAAATAGTCAATGTTGATCGAGAGAGTGAAGTTCTGATTTAATTACAAAATAGCTAACTGCTTTAGGTGTGAAAATGACACTGAAAACTCAGTATAGTAAAAGTCATGCTTATTCCATGTAGAGCACCCCCTAAAATGCAGCAGGAATTTTTGGTCCTATGTCCCCCCTTAGAGCACACACAAGCAGGCACAAAACATTTTCCATACTCTTCCTCTGGTTCCAAGGAACAGTCAAGGGTTTCTTTTTTTGGGGTTTTATTAGGAATGATGAACTTGGATAAGGATAGAGAACAAGAGATACCCCAAAACTGTAAAACTGTACAACTTGAGGGTTGCTCCACTAAATATCTGGCTGTAATGCACAAACTGTTGGCTGTGCTGCACAAACTGTTGGCTGCTGGATCTCTAGGCTGACTGTGACCTGTGCTCCTTCCAGAGTTTCAAAGCTATACAATGTCACAACTCTTCAGCACTGGGCGAGGACAGAATTCTGGGAGTTGAGTATCTTAAAAGTGTACAACCTGCAACAATGTTTACACTGGGCAAAAAGAAAAAAAAAAGTATAGTCAACAGGCTGGAGATCCGCTTTAACAGTAAAAATCAGTGTTTGGGACCTGCTTCATACTGCCATCAGGCTTTCAAATGTTTGCATAATAATGGCGATCTTGTTTTCCTGCTTTGACAACCACTACGCAGTCTCTGTAGATAGTCCTCCCAAGGATCCACTCCCTCCCCATGTCAAAGAACCGGGACCAAAACCTGTAGTAGTGGGGACCCCTACAAGGCCTTGGGATGTGTAGAAAGTTCCAGATACAGTCATCCTCTCACTCTGGTCTCTTGGCCTTTACCTCATCCATAACATGCTTGGGCATGTAGGGGTATTCAAACCCATACAACAGCTCCACTTTATGTTGGACCTTGCACTGCAAGTGGGAGAACTTTGAGAGCCTGTGAATGTTCCTCTTCCCTGTAGTAACACAAGAAATCGGTGACTTGGTGATTAGTTCTTTAAACACTTCATTTTGGGCGATTGTCCACACCCATGAGTTTGATGATGCTGATTGGAATCTTTTCAGCTGCATTCCTTAGCAACAATTCTGCTGCCTCATTGTCTCCTGCTACCCCAGGATTGCTTGACCCCTCCTGTGACTCTGTGAACAATGTCTCTCTTGCCTCTTAAGGGTAATCCCCCCAATCGCACTCAGTCCCCTACATACTGGGCAGAGCCCAATTCCCCACTACTTCCAGTGATTTGTATTCCCCACCAAACTTTGGGGATCCAGGGTCTGTCTCCACCCCCCCTCCTCACTGTTACTCCCTGCTGGCTCACCTGTAAGCTTGACTGGATCCAGCTCCTTCTGAGCAGGGGTGACAGGGCGAATGGTGGCTGCTGACTTCTCCAGAGTTTCCTCTCTGGTACTTCACTCTTGCAGGTCGGCACTGGTGGTTCTGCTGTTGCAGACTTGATAGCTGTGCCCCCCTTGCTGCCAGTACTAGGGGGTCTCCTATCCCGACCATTGGTGAACTCATATGTTACCAGCCCCAACTGGGCTTTTAGACTGACATCTTCCTGTTGTTCCCTTCTTTGCGGACCAGCCAGCCAGGACAGCTCCACCAACTCTGAACAGAACCCATGGAAGGTGTTGACTGAATAGGTCACCAGTTTTAGGTGGCTGGGCTTGAGTTCCATAGGCGGCCTGCATCTCACCAGGGCTGTTGATCTATGGCGCTCTGGACAGATCAGGCACAACCACTTGAACATTCCCAGGGCAAATCCACTTTGGTGAACCAGCCAAACTCCTGTGTCCACCATCCACTCACACCATTCTGCCAGCTGGTCCTGCACTACAGCCTGACTCCACACCCAAAGAAAAGAACATGTGCAGCCATCTTGCTGCTCTCATGCACACATAGGGTTTACTTTCTCTTTCGGGTCCTGCATCTCAGTCCTCCCCTGAGACACACCAACATCCACCACTGTAAAGCAGGATCTTCCCGCGTCACTTGTTAACCTCTGCTGTACCACAGTAAAAAAAATGTTTTTGTATTTTTCTCCTACTCCAAGCTCTCTCTCTTTCACAACTTCTTCCTGGTTTCCTCACTTGAGCTACTTCAATTTCATCCTTGGACCTGGAATTGCAAATAGACACCCAAGCTAAGCCTAGCTGGGACCTCAGTGTCTCCTTACTGCCTTCCTCTCAGACTTCTGCCTCATGGGGCAGAGCCCCTGCATAGGGGTCTCCTCCAGCAAAACTGGACCTTGGAACACTGCACCCTGTTGCCTGTACTACAGGCTCTTAATAGGCTCACTCTCTGCCTTTTGGGCGCACCTCCGCAGGGATTGGCTGGAGTTCCATAAATATTCAGGCTCCCCATTCCATCCTTCTTCCCACTATGCTTCTAGAAGACAGGGGGAAGTAACAGAGCAGTAATTGTTGATATATATATATATATATATATATATATATATATATATATATATATACAAAGTCAGGTGTTATGTTGCTGTCTAAGCCATTTGAGCAGTAATTACCTTCAAAACTCATTGTATTAAGATTGTCAGTATTTGTAGAACAATATCAGAACTCTTTTAACAATAGCTTTTGCTGTTTTAGTCCCAGAAACTGAAAATGTATTCAAATAAATCTTGTAGTAAGTCACCAGAAGTTCATTGTTACATTTTCAATACTTTATTAAAGCAACAAGCTTTTAAAAAGGCTGTCAGTACTGAAATGTTGGATATGGCAGCACATTATGTGACAAGCTGGATACTTTAATAAATCATTGAAAATGTAATCACAGATTGCTGCCAACTTATACAAGACTTGTTTTATAAATTGGTGCCAATTGCACAATTTTATAAAAACTTTTAAGCTTATTCACACCTTTCTGATCTATTGCATTAAGGTACATTATGTCCCATGTTAAGTTGCAATGCATTAATGGACCAGAAAATAGATATGCTCAATTTTTTGCAATATAGCATACCACAATACATGGAAGTGTTGTTGTAGTGCCCTGCAATGCAGGTGCTTTCTTTTGCAAATGAATGGCACCATAACACATGTACAAGGTGCACTGCTGGACATTGTAGGAATGTGTGTGTTAAAGCAACACTAAGGGGTGCATGGGTCCTTAATGTTCTAGTCTAAGGAGTTGACAATTTTTTTAAAAAGTTCATTAAAGTATAGTTTGCATTTTTTTGTGTTTCTTCACAAAATAGCTTGCTCCGTTAGGTAAAAATTAATTCCTGTGTGAAGTAAAGGTTTCCGTATTTAGATGAAGAAATTGAAGCCTGTTTATATAGAATACATAACTGTTTTAGTCCCAGGAGCAGAACACTTTCCTTCGATATTCAGTCTACTAAAAGTGGTATCTTTTAGAAACTGTGTCCTGAATGGGGAGATTCACGCTGTCTATTTGCCCTGGTGACTACAGTCGTCGATCCAACAAATTTAAACCAAAGTTTAAGAGTTTTCACCAGAAGACTTGAGTGGAAATCCTTTAAACACTTGACCTCCAGAAGGAGGTCAAGTCATACAACACTGTACGCAAATTAAATTTATAATTTTTTTTTCACACAAATAGAACCACTAGGTTCTTTTTTTAATTATTATATAGATGAAAAAAGACCGAAAATAAAAAAAAAACAATATTTACTACTTTCTGTTATAAAACGTAAAATTTTAAGTTCTTCAAAAATTTAGGCCACAATGTA